CATGTCCTGCCTGCCCTTTGTCCCCCCCCCCCCCCCCCCCCCCTGTGACCCACCCGGAACCTGCTCCTGGTCCCACGCAGCTGCCCCACCCGGGCTCCTCCTGGTGCAGCCCTGCAGGCATGCTCAGTCCCGCAGTGCCTTCTCACAGGACTGAGGCTGCACCGAGGCTGTTCACGTGGGGCCCAGCTCAGAGGGCCTGCACAGGGGCAGCGCACATGGACAAGTGCCCTTAAGCCAGGTGGCCTGCAGTTAGCCACAGAGGAAGGGTTCACGCCACCTGGCTACACATCAAGGCTTCGGACACCAGACCCAGGTAGTGACAGTCGGACCAGAACATCATCGGTCCTGAGGGAGGCCGGGAAGGCCCCAAGGCTCCATGCGGAGAGGCGCTGCAGCCCCACTAGGACACCAGCACCCCGACCCTACGGAGAGGTCAGCACTTCTCCTGCAGGCTCTCTGAAGCCAGGAAGCTGACCGCTGGCCAGCTGCATCTCTCTTTTTTTTCTTTTTTGGAGAGATTTTTGCTATAGGGCACATGTGCTCCCAGAAAGAGAGACAGAAAAAGGGAAATCACCCCCCAGGATGGATGACCACGCTGCAATCCCTTTTCCTCCATTCTCCTCTTGGGATCTTGGGCACGCACACACACGTGCCTCACCTGAGTGTAAGCCACCGGGTCCAGGACTCAAACCGTGGTCGACTACACGGGAGTCCAGCGACATAGCCATTATGCCAACTGGTGGTCCCTCGCCCGCTGCATCTCTAAAACAGCCTGTCCCAGCGCCCCGGAGGTGAGACGCCTAGGAGCTGGGGTGCCCAGTCCTGGTAGTGTGGCCAGGGACTGGCCGGGTGGGGTATGGAACGGCCGGCTTCTTGAGTGGGCCAGACTTGGATGAAAAGGGACAGTCAATGCCGCTTTAAGGCCAAGAAGGGTCAGAGTCTGGCAGATTTAGCAAATCCCAGCTTTAGGAATGAATTCTCGGCTCCCAGAACAGCAAGGCTCCTCGGCCAGCCTGAGTCTCGTCCAGACGTCTCCCTCGCAGCGCCGAGCGCCTGGGACCCGGCAGAGCGGCAGGA